AAAGAGGGCACGTTCTGCATGGAGCACTGGGTGTTATGCACAAACAATGAATCATGGAACACTACATCAAAAACTAATGATGTAATGTGTGGTGATTAACATAACAATAAAAAATTTAAAAAAAAAAGAAAGTCCCTTCGACCCCTCCCCAGGTTCAATCATTTGCTGGAACGGCTCACAGAACCGAGGACAACAGTTTACTCACTAGATTACCAATTTATCATAAAGGAATACAACTCAAGAACAGCTAGATGTAAGGTGTGCATGGGGCAAGGTATAGGGGAAGAGGTGTGGAGCTTCCATGCCCTCTCCAGGCACACCACCTTCTTAGCATCTCCACATGTTCATCAATCTGGAAGCTCTCCAAACTCCATAGTTTATAGAGCCTTAATGACATAGGCATGATTGATCAAATTATTGGTCATTGGTGAATGAACTCAACCTCCATCCTCTCTACCCTCCGCAAAGGTTGAGGAATAAAGACTGAAAGTTCCAACCTTCTAATCACATGGTCAGTTCCCCTGGCATCCAGCTCCCATCCTTAGGGGCTTTCCAAAAGTCGCCTCATTAACATAAATTGTGGTTGAAAGGGTCTTGTTATGAATAACAAATGTCACACTTATTGTTCTTTTTTTTTTTAAAGATTTTATTTATTTGACAGAGAGAGAGACAGCGAGAGCAGGAACACAAGCAGGGGGAGTGGGAGAGGGAGAAGCAGGCTTCCTGCTGAGCAGGGAGCCCAATGTGCGACTCAATCCTGGGACCCTGGGATCATGACCTGAGCTGAAGGCAGACGCTTAACAACTGAGCCACCCAGGCACCCGTCACACTTATTGCTCTTATCACCTGGGAAGTTCCAAGGAATGGGGATGAAGATGACCTACATATTTCTTACTATAAATCACAATATCACAATTCCTCTCTCCCTATCTATGGTGTGGCCAAAGTCTGGCAGCATCTCTCAGCTAGAGGTCAAGCTCCTCTGCGGCAGTGTTCCTTACACTGTTCTTTCTCGGTCCCTCTTCTTCTTCCTCTCCCTCCCCCCAACCACCACCTCCCTTGCTCTGTCTCTCTCACTGGGTCTATAAATGCTCCCTTCCCAGCCCCTTAAGGTTTTGTGGTAACGAAAGCACCACTCTCCTAGCTCTGATGACTTCCCTACACCCTCCCCACATATTTGCAAATAATTCCCCCAATTGCTCAATCATGCCTTCTGTTTCCTCTGGAGACCCTGACTGATAAAGAGTTTCTGATTCTTCGTTGTCAAAAAAAAGTCCACCCATCCAGCCTAATCCCAGATCAGGCAAGATAATCAACTGAGCGCAGTCTCAGTCAGGACCAGTGACAAAAAGAGAAAGCACACTGAGCATTTCAAAGAGAAGGGATTTGGTAGAAGGAATTGGTGACACCACAGCAGAAGGCTGAAAGAGCAAAAAGAGGATACTTAGTAACTCAGTTATCAGTAACTGCAGGGCTGGTAGAACCAGCAGAGGAGGTGGTGTTTCTAGGAACCAGGTGTTCCAAGGGGGAGCCTCTGCATGGTTAATGCTCAATTCCCTAAAGGGGGCACTGTGGGACTGGTGCTAACATCCGGCTTCCTGGTTGGTGCGGAGTCTGGCTAATGCTGTCCCCTCCGCAGAGGGATGGTAACAAGAATGCAAACAGGAAGGAGTTTCCCTCAGGCCTCACCTTCTTTTACTCTGCCAAATTTGCCCCCCATGGGCAGAATCTAACACAAAGCCTGCTGGCATAAGCGTCTTAAGACCTGAGCCTGAAATTTCCCAGCCCAACCCATCAACAATCAGAGTATGAAATGTGGAGCTTAGGACAGAAGACAACAGGTAAATAACCAATACCTATGGGTACCATAAAAACATTCTGTACTGTAGTTATTATTGTTACCCATAACTGAGAAAATTTAAATAGATAGCCATGCCTCAGAATGAATTTTTCCCAGTTCTTTTCCCCAGAGCAGGTTTAATAAAAGCTATGATATTTCAGGCCATGATTTCCAAGTTTACCAAGGTTTTAAATGTTCTATCTACCCTGTGCTTCCCCCAAAACATCAAAATGCCCCATAAATTACAACCAGATCTCCCAGACTCCTTTTATAACTAGAGCAGCAGTACCTAAATTCTTTTCTCACACCATAAATGCCAATGACGGTCTCAGAAAAGATGAGTGCCACCAAGCCTCCGCAGTGCCTAGAGCATGGTGATGTCTTGGGGGAAGCACAGGGTAGATTGACCAAGGCCAGCCAAAACATGGTCACCAGCTGGTATGCTCACCCTCCGACTCCCTCAAGAGCTGACGGCCAGGAGTTCTCCCAACACTCCACCCCCTACGTGTTGACAAGTAAAGCCCTCGGCCCAGCATCCCCAAAGCTGGAGACCTATAAAAATCTCATTTCTGCAGGTATCAACTCCTACATTAGTGCAATGGTTTTTCAGCTATTTTTATCAATGTATGCCTTTCTGTTTTATTTCTACGAACACACTCTGACATAGAACCCCAAATATAAATAAAATAGATACAGCTGATTCTGCATTCGTTGAAATGGGAGGCCCCAGAAACAGGCCTGTTGTAGCTGTTGCCCCCACACCTTACCCTAGAGTTTCCTGGGTCTCTGAGGAGCCCCGTTTGAGTGCTCGAGAACCATAGCAGTCTTGGCAAAGTTTAGTAACGTTTGACATTCTTTAACGTAGCTATAAAAGTAGCTTATATGTATAAATGTTCTCAATATTCACAGTATCAGAGGCTTTATTCTCACCACATTTATACTATAATCTCACATAGAAATTCTTCCAGTTTCCCCTAAGACACTCTCATCTTGTCACACACAAAACCCTAAAACCCCACTGCACCACACATGTGTTGACATCACAGTTTTCCCAAAGATCTCCAGACTCAAGTAAAATGGCAAAAAAAAAAAAAAAAAAAAATTTGTATTTGTGGACCGTATTTGTGACACAGCCTCTCCAGCTTCAGGGGAGTTCAGGGGCTGTTCTGCTCCTTAGTTTTCTGCAGCCAACAGGGAACATGGTGAAGAGAACAATGCTGGATGGCACGTCAGCCCACTTGGACTATATGGTGTTGGTATTCTGCTTGAGGTAGTCCATGTATTTCTTCTGGAATGTGCTGCTGTACAAAACCCATGATGGGATCAGGCTCAGGAAGCTCCGCTTAAATAGACAAAAACATGAGTATTTGGGGAAGAAAGAAGAGCAAGCAAGTTAGAAGGAAACAGCTCAGTGTATATTCATCATCTTTAAAAATATTTTTCTGACTGCTGAACTTAAGTCTCAAAATCTTTTAAGTGCATGCTAAAATTTAAAGGTCTTATGACCTTTCTCAGCAAACAAGGTTTTCTCAGAAACCAAAACAGTCACTTGTAGAATCAGCCCCAAGGAAGTTTAAATTAAGAGAACTGTGCCCCGAGTAACACCCTACCCCCCTTTCTCCTTCTCTTAGCAAGTACTTCGTCTTCCTACTGTTCAATCTCCCAGTGTCTTCATGTTCTTTTTACCAAGGTTCTACTAAAATGAGATTCCAGAGAACAACCAGAAATGCTTTTACCACCTGGCACAATGCCTGAGGCAGAGTAGGCACTAAGCAAATACACAAATGCATCAATGAGTTCATGAACAAAAGTCAGACACAGCAAAGTATAAATCACCAACATTGAACATTTGCTTGGAAAGGTGGAGGGGGGCATCGTGGGGGGCATGAATGCTTAGTTGGATGCACATCAGGCAGTAGGCACAGGCGTTGGAAGACCTTTTGCCCTCAAATCATACCCATGTCCTGTAAGGTCCAGGACCCAGAAGCAGTCATTCTGTCCACAGTGTAATCCTGTGCATCCAACATTCCTCAACCTACCTACTCCCCACTGAACAACAGGATTTCAACCAGAGGAAAATATGAGCTTTTCAGGGAGTGTTCCTATTCTTCAGACAGCTCAGATTCTCAAACTCTTGCACTCATTGAGATACTTCAAAGCAGGGGGCCAAAGATGGCTTCCGGGGAAACAAAATAGAACCCTTCATCCACTAGCCGAGTCAATTAGTGAATGCAAATTTTTCCTTAGGAACTTCATTTTTCTCCCCTTTAGACCTTTTTAATGTCACAGCAAAATCAAGCCCTTTCATTAGCTTTGCCTTAAACTAAATGTTTTGGCTTAGTGAAGTCAGCCAAATTAAAGTTCCAGGTCCCTAGAAAATGTTCTAAAAGTCCCTTCTTCTGCCTCCATTGTTGTCTACCTCCTCCCAACCTAGAAGGACGGTTTAGAAGAAACCAGGGAAAGCACGGCATTGGGCAAAGGTGGACTTAAACCCTAGCTTCACCATTACCAGCCAAGTGGACTTTGGCATCTGATCTAGCTCTGAATTTCAGTTTCCTCAACTGTAAAACAGGAATCAAATGATCTGTCTTACAAGATGATTAGGAGAATTAAGTGAAGTAACCCCCCGTACCACATGGACTCTACATTAGAGGCTCTATTCCAGCCCTAGTTCCTGCCCTAAAACTCCTTGGGAGTGAAGAGCATGCGGTCTTTGCCTTGCCTTTTTCTAACAGAAGGTTTGCTTATTTACCAGTCGATTCTACTTGATTGCTCAAACTTTAGAGTCAATGATTTTTCTAAATTCCAGCAAATGCCAAATTGGCCTTAAGCGCTTTAATGATTTGTATGTTCTCCTTTGTCTTCTCTTTTGCTTCAACAGGCACAAAGACTCTTTTGCCTAGTCTGTTCTTGGCATCTATTTGCCAGAAGAGATTTGATTTGTTACACAAGAAATCAAAAGAGAAAAGCCAAAAAAAATTTGTTTCAACTTTTGACACCTAGAATTGCACTGTGTAGCAAGATGATAACCTTGCAAGCCAGGCTATGGTCTCAAGACTGATGCTGATGGGTTCCATATAAGACATCAATATCCCAAAGGATGTGTGTCCTTCTATATGTGGACCTAGGCTGGGTGGAGGGCTGGGGGACCAGGGGATTCAGGTGAAGAATATGAACATGTGATAAATAAGTAAGGGGGGCACTGAGGGCAAAAGAGGAGATATTGCCCCCATCCTTCGGGAGTGCAACCATAGAACATTATCTCAGCATGGCAAGAGAGGTGCTGACATTTGGCTTTCCAGCATTGGTCAAGTCCATGTTGATGCTGATACAGAAGTGAGAGCCAAAGGGCCTTTATGAACCAAAGATCCAGATGAACCATAGGCCCATGGCTGCATGGGGGAAGTAGCAGAGATTCAGGGCTCTGCAGTCCTCAGTAGGTGGGAGTTTACCGGCCAAGCCGAAAGGGTCATTGCTCCCCAGAGCCATAAATCAGCAAGGTGCACAACCACCAGGTAGATATGGGACAAAGCCACACACACTTTAGGACCAGCAGGAGATCATGAAGATTCTTCTCCCTGATACCATCTTAGTGAAAGAGGCAGGAGAAAGAGATGGTCCCAGAAAGACTGAACACTTTAAATAATTAACAGAAAGCACATTTCCTAAATATCCAGTTTAGGTTACTAGATCAAACTAAATTTAAACTCATTGGACATTCCATTAATTTGTTCTCCTGCCATGCAGCAAGTAGTAATCTGGAGAAAGACCAGATTAGCAATAGACAAAATCAAGATCTTATATTCTTTCTGTATGTCCACTTTGTAGAGTGTGTTAAATTGGTGATTCTGCACATTGTTGAGGCTCTACAGTGAAAGTTGCAAGTGATCCTCTAAGACAATTCAGTATCTCTTCTAGAGTCTCCAGAAGTCCCAGTGGGTAACGGAATGCTTGGGAAGATACAGTGTATTCCTTCTAGCACCTGAGAGAAAAAGAGAGTAGGGAGAAACCTAATTCCCATGACAGAAAAGCACATGAGGCAGAGGAGAAATTTGACATATGAAGGGAAAGTAAAGATCTGTCTAGGGCGCCTGGGTGGCTCAGTCGTTAAGCGTCTGCCTTCGGCTCAGGTCATGATCCCAGGGTCCTGGGATCGAGTCCCACATCGGGCTCCCTGCTCCGCAGGAAGCCTGCTTCTCCCTCTCCCACTCCCCCTGCTTGTGTTCCTGTTCTCGCTGTCTCTCTCTGTCATATAAATAAATAAAATCTTTAAAAAAAAAAAAAGATCTGTCTAAAATTTTTGGTGACACTGGAAACAGAACCACCCTGGCACTCTGTGTTCAGTATCAGCGTGCAAGTTAACTCTACCTTTGTTTCACGTTTGTGGTTGCTTCTAAAAGCAGCCCAGGGATGGTAAGAACTCCTCATACTACATGCCACTGACTGAATCTTACTTCCGGATTCAACGGAGTCCATGTTGTGCTAGAACCAGCTTGAACTTGATCTCAAGAGCCAATTATACACGTTCCTAAATTCGGGGGCAGTGACAACACAATGGGAGCTTAAAATCAGCCGGGGGGGCGGCATTATTTAAACCATGGAAATCAGCAAACCCTACAAACCAAAGTGTTTGGGGTTTTTTCCTGGAGAGCCAGATATTAAAACATTTCTTAACACAGGGAGCCAGAGAAGAGAGCAGCACCCAGCCCCACCCAGGGATGGTCCCTGTGTCTTGGTCTGCCCTTCCCGAGAGCTCAGGAAGCCACCTTACTTTCTGAGGAAAGAGGTGAGGGTATTTGCCAATGTGGGGGTTATCTCTGGGCTGAGTCCCCAGGCCCCCAGCCTCCCCACTTTGCCACATATGCTCTTTCACATGGCTGTGTGACAGCTTAGCAGCATGGGCTCTGGCAACACGATCCTTGCCGTGAGAGGACAGGGTTGGTTGCTCCAATAGCAAAGAAGAACTCTGCTGGGACTGCCCGCACACCTGCCTCCAGAACTTTGAGAAAGAAGTTGTCAGTTACCAAGAGTTCGTGGGTGAGGCAACCACAGGTTTCATCTCCAATTGTGACGTAATTCAGTGATTCCTTAACAAAGTCATTGGCGGTCTTGGTTACCATGTTGGTGTGTAGATACTTCGTCATTGGGGTGGAAACAGCATATGGGGTCAGCACCTACAATGGGCAATAAAGGCCATAACACGGGAGCAATCTGCCCACCCCTGAGAAGTGAACCCCTATTCTAGCCCTCCCTTCGTTTGCCAACTCCGTTCTTCTGTAAGAAGCCTCAGGATCTCCCCTGATGATGGAGCACTGGAAAGGCATAGAGCCGGCACAGAACTGTGACTCAGAAAAACTGGTTTCTTGTTTAACTTTATCACTAACTCAAGCTGAGGCCTTAGCCACACAACGTCAGCTGGTTCAAATGTACACAAGGTGACTGAGGACATGAATTATCTCTTAGAACATGGTGGCCGGACCAACAATAAAAACACAGGACAGTTAAATTTCAAAGCCAGACAAACAAGGAAAAAAAATTTCAGTATAATATGTCCCAAGTATTGCATGGGGTATACTTATACTAAAAAAAATAAAAGTTATTATCTGAAATTCAAATTGAACTGGATGTCCTGTATTTTATGTGGCACCCTAATGCAAGAGGCTTATTTCTAACACATACAGCCAAAGTTGGAGCAATTGAAAGCTCTTTGGATTCCCACTTTCACACTTCAGTTACAAGCCAGGAGTGACACATGCCTGATCATCTTTCCTGTTGTGATAAGAAAAATAAACAACCACACACTGTGGCCCTCAAAGCCGACACCATCAGTATGTACAGCAATCATTTTAAAGATTTAACTGTGAGGGTGCCTTTTTCATTTCTAATAGTAGGTCATAAAACTTCTTCCCAAACAATAACAAAAATGTCTGCAAATTGTTTATTCCAGGTTCCAGAAAGCACTTAGCTCTAACTAACTATGTTGCTGAACCAAGCCCATGCCTGTCCCTGACACCTCAAGACTACAGATGGCTGTGACAACCCAGTTCTGTTGACAGCTGGGACAGGGTCATCTCCTCGATGGTTCTGCCATGGCCGGTGAAAGAGGAAGCCAAGGGCCTCTTCCTCAACTGCTCAAGAACCACAGCGTGGGGATCTTTGTGGCCCATCACAGATGAACAGCTCCCAAAGTACCCCCAGCCCCCTGCCTCATTCCAACGTGGATCGATTGCTCAGTTTTCTTTTGTTTCTTCTCCACAATTCCTCCCACCTAAGCCTGTCTCCTGTACCTGGGTCAGGGAGTCAAGGGTGGTTAGACCAGACCCTAGTTTCTGTCCTGATGCAGTGCTCACTCACGGCACCGCCTCCTACAGGGCATGTGTGAGGGAGCAGCAGGCCGAACCAGAGTGGCTCAGTTGCCACTGTGATGGTCACAGGAACTCCCATGGTGCCATGCAGACCCTCCCCCCTGGCTGTGCATGCACAGCCGGTCCTGCAGGGGGTAGTGGCCCCAGCTCCATGGGGTACCACAGTTCCTCATCCCAAGGACCCAGAGCTGTTGACCTCACCTGGATAATGATTCCTTTCCTTCTATATTCGGCTTGCAGTGCCTTGGAAAATGTGCACACAAAAGCCTGGAGCAAGAAGGAGAAAACACCTATGGGGAGAGCTTGCTTTGTCATCGGAGGCCACTTTTTCAGATTTCAAAGGGGACTGCAGGGAGCCTACCTGCTTGCCCTTAAAATGCAGTAGTGTGTCTGATGGGAGTTAGGACTTTGTTTCTTGGCCTGGAAGAAGCTCCCTCAATGAGCAAGAACATCCATTTTGGGATAAATACATGCCGAGGGCCACTGCACATAGAGGACCCTACCCAGGGAGAGCTCTCCCTTGTCTCCCTGCCTGGGAACACCCCCACCCCCAAGGGTTTGTTTTTAGGACTAGGGCATGGGGACACCTGGCCAGGCCCCCAGGACAGAAGAAAGTTCCAGTGCTGCTTGCTGGCAGCAAGAGAACAGGGCTCCAGGCAAGGAGGTGAGTGGGGCCCAGAGTCCCACGGGGGCTGCGCCTATCCCGCTGCAGGGCTCCATCAGCCCCAGGGCCATGGCTTTTTCTAATTTGTACCCAGACATCTGCTGGCAGGCCCTGTACATAGAAGCCCCCTGGACACTTGTCCTCCAGACCAATATGTCCATCAGCTTGCCAGATGATCTGAAGTCCAGAGGAAAATGCCAACTGGGAGAAACAAGAGGAAGAAGGAGAAGGAAGCTTGGGCTCCATGCTGTCACTCACCTTGGAGGCCGAATACATGGAGTAGAGAGGCCAGGGAAAGAGGGCCACCCCAGAAGAAATGTTCAAGATAAGGCCTTTCTGCCTAAAACACAAAGAAGTAGAGTTCTGAATAGTTTGCTGCCTGATGAGCCACACCCTGAGAGGAAAGAAAGCGAAGGGGCTCCTGTGACTTTCGCCAGGAAAGTCCATCCTCTCTAGACTTCCATGTGCACGGCGAGTTCTGCTCCCCAGAACCATGAGTGGTGCGTCCCCACGGCCTGGATCACGACACCAAACAGTGGTGCCACTCAGCAGTCAGTTGACATCAAGGGCTGGTGAGTGGAAACAGGGGTTCTGCTACAACAAAGATCCCCCAGCAAAATGCCGAGGACCAACTCAGCTCAGCCAGTCTTATTAAGGGGGAAGGAACCCTTCTTTCTCAAATGTGACCCCATGAGCTCAAGGTCCCTTTTAACACCTAAAGAGGACCCACACCAGGACAGATGTCAAATGCAGAATCCTGTCTTGAGTGGAATTTGACAGTCCGTCATCTGCTCACACAGGAACCCACACACGAGTCTCCAGGGTCCTTACTTAATCTTTTTGAAATTGGGTAATTTTAATCCTTCTCAAATAGATGGGTTCAATCCAGAAAAACCAAGGAACTGCAAATTAGACTACAAGGCCAAGCCCCTCTTCCTCTAGGGAAGATAAAACTATCAACCATTTGCATTTAATGAATACCATGTGAGAAAAGCCAGTTCTCTAAGGGCTGTTGTAATAGGATAATAAAACCATGGACTAAATAGAAACACCGAGAGGTGGTGATTTTTACCACTAAATTTGGGTAATAGCAAGAGATGGCCTTGATCTCAGGCCAACCTCTGAAGTTTCTTTTATGTTCAACATGAGTTAATATTTTTAATATAATGTGATGAAATAGCTGTTCTCTTCCTCCAGTAGATGCTACACTTGACTTTCAAATATGCTTATCTGTTGGCAAGGCTGGCCTGGTCCAGAATGTTACATTTTCTCCTGCAATCTCCATGTCCTTCATCACAGTTTTACCATTGGTTAAAGCTGCAGCCAGATGAACCCTATCTGCCCACCACCTTCACCCCGTCCCAAGTCCCCAGGTCAGCTAACTGCCAGGCCAGAGAGGCCATGCCGTACTGTGCTTTTTCAAAAAAAAAAAAAAAAGACCTTGGGGCGCCTGGATGGCTCAATCGTTAAGTGTCTGCCTTCGGCTCAGGTCATGATCCCGGGGTCCTGGGATCGAGCCCCGCATCGGGCTCCCTGCTTCTCCCTCTCCCACTCCCCCTGCTTGTGCTCCCTCTCTCACTGTGTCTGTCTCTGTCAAATAAATAAATAAATAAAATCTTTAAAAACAAAAACAAAAAAGACCTTACCTTGATTCCATCTGTTTCAGAATTAGCTGTGTCATCTATAAGAGAAGGGGTAGAGTTAAGCCCTCTTGACAAAGGAGCAGAGTACCGAGGGTGTGGGGGCTTAGGGAAGCAGGTGCTGGAAGAAGCCAGAAAATGAGCTTAATCTCTCAGGTGGCCTTGAAAATCTGCTGACACTTGTCGGAGGTAATTCTGGCAACACTAGAGTCTGACTAAGACCCACAGAAGGCAACCTAGACGAACAGCAAATGGTTAGAGGCCTCTGATTTCTTCCCCATAAAGCTAAAGTCTTCCTGGAAAATGCAGGCAGTGAAAAACTATGGAAATTGGCTTGTAGCCATGAGATCAACACTGAGGTTCCCCAGATACTCTTCATTCTGGCATAAGTAGGTTGGCCATCATAAACCTCACCCATGAGTTAGAAGTGGGGGGACCTCAGGAAACCTAACCAGTGTCCATGAACAATCCACATATGAGGCACAAGCTAGAGGACATCTCAATCCAACAGCAGCCCCATAAGCAGCTTGCAGGTGGTCTCTGAAATAGCTCCATAGATGGACCATGTCTGTCTGTCCACTGGAATTACAGCAGTGTTGAGAAGTCCTTTCCCTGTCCCAACTTGCTGGCCCTGGAAGAGGTCTTCCCGACTATTCTGGAACTTAAATAGCCCATTAAAAGAGTTTTCACTTCATAATTACGAGGCACCCCTTCTAAGAATTAAGGAAGAGGCAAACCCACAGGCTGAAATGTTCTCAAAAGTACAATTGCGTGGCATCAGGCCTTGTCTCGGGAGCAGGTTTGAGGAGAAAGGATCCAAACACATGGAGAAGGGCAGAGAAATAAAGGAGACTGAAGACCAGAAGACAAATTTTGCCTATTTTTCCCTGTTGTCAGGGGCCCTGCAGGAGCTTCTTAGTAGGCTCTGTCCCCACCATAGGGCAGGCCCTTGAGCCCAACCCTGGGGACGTCCAGATTATGTTTCCACTGTCCTGGGGCAGCGGTGGGGGGATGCAGTGGCATCGACTACCTCCAGAAATACTGGGTTTGGAGGGAGGTGGGAGAAGCACAAGGACTAGATCATGCCGTTAGCTTCCCCTTGGCTCTGCCCACCTCACGAAGGGCACCACGGGAGCGCTGCTGGACAGCACCAGCATTTCCTCAAAGCCTCCCCACTGAATCCCCTATTCTTACTGGTCGAATGATCCCAACAGAGAGACAACATTGGACTTTGTGGGTCTCTCTGTCTCAAAGCTCCCGAAATTTAGTCTCTTACCCGAACTTCCCTTTGCCCACAAACTCATTCCTGCATCTCTGCCCTTGACAGAGAACTCTACTATTTCCAGATGGCTCCTTTGGGGTAACTAAGTGATGCTAGTCATGCTTCCAACCAGTGTGGCCAACTGAGGCATGGTGTACTTAGAAAGCTAACCTTCAATTCGTTTTCTTCCCTATTTAAGCAATTAATGTCTATCAATATACATAAAAAAATTTTTTTTAGCAAACCAAAGCAATTCTCTGCTAAAGGAGTCAGAGGGTTGTCAAATACATTCAGGAAACCCTGTGACCAAATGGACCAAGCCTGAAAGATCAATGTGTAAAATAACATGAAAGATTTTAGTGGTAAGGCAGCAGACAACAGTTGGACATATAAAACTTACAATTACATCAGCTGGGGTTTGAAAAAACTATTGATTGCTCAGCATAAAAAGAATGTATGTACCAATAAAAACTGAGCAGGAAACTATAAAATACCAGTATGCTTACAGAAGAACGACTGACGATCAACTCAGCTTATCCACCTAAAAATAATTTTACATGGTTTGTTCAGCATCCATCTCCCTCCTTATGTTAATAGCATCCTGTTTTCCTTTGGGAAACCAGCCCTCCTCTGCCAGGCCATGCTGTAAAGATGAGACCTGCTGCTCCCTAACTGGGATCCCTCCTCCATGAAACTACGGATCATACCTGATTCACTGCTGTGAATCAGAGTGGTCACAAGGACTGCCATGCACAGTTGTGAATTTTGTATACTGAGCAAGGTGTCCAGCTGTGGGGGTGACTGTAAGCCAAAAGCCCAGGGTTCACTCACAGGCAGTTAGAACGGCTCTCCCCATTCAAAGGAAAGGGAAACATTGCGTTCACCCAAAAGCATCATCTATCCACTCTTAAGCAGCACCTTTTTCCAAATTGTCTGCCCAGAGGGGGTGCCATTTTCTTATTCATTCAAAGGCACAATATAGGACCACTTTGTGATAATCATGCCTATAAATGCTGATACAGTTGACTCTAATCAAAGAACCTGAGTGCCAAATGGCACCTGACACATCCCTTAATCCAACACTCTTTCAATAGCAGATGAAGAATCTGAAGGTCAAGGGAGTTAAACAACAACACTGCCCAACTAACTAGTACTTGAGATGAGATCAGAACACATACAAACTTGAGTTTCACTTCAACAAATATTTATTGAACATCAAAAGTCCAGAAAATCCAAGCCAGGCCTTCTGTCATTTTTCCAAACCGACTGAACTTTCCACCATTAACAAAAACTAAAACTAGAGGAAGGTATTATTTTTTTTAAGTCACCCTAGAATCCTGAATAAGTTTCCATGTCATCAGACCTAATATGTTCTGACATGTGACAAAACTGGATGCAAAAATAAGATTCAGATACTCTGGAGAACACATTCATCACTGTATTTTCTTGATGAAAACAGAATAAGACAATTAAAAGACCACTACATGGCTTCTCAATCAAGTGCAGTTCAATGTCAAAGACTTCAGCAGGGAAGAAAGCAATTCTCCCGAATTGCCAGATTTCAACAGCTACTACATTTTTTTTTTAAGATTTTATTTATTTATTTGACAGAGAGAGAATGAGAGAGAGAGCACATGAGAGGGGGGAGGGTCAGAGGGAGAAGCAGGCTCCCCGCCGAGCAGGGAGCCCGATGCGGGACTCGATCCCGGGACTCCAGGATCATGACCTGAGCCGAAGGCAGTCACTTAACCAACTGAGCCACCCAGGCGCCCAACAGTTACTACATTTTAACGCATTTAGCACATATATTGACTACATACCTTCACTACTGAGGTGATGTTACAGTGGATGAGACTCTGTAATAAATAATCACAACCACAAATTAGCTGGAGGATTTGAGACATTCTCTTGAGAAGTAGTCAGTGCTAGAGAACCATAAAGTGGGCAACATTGTGGTCTGAGCGGTGCTCCTCGTTTGCACAGCCTGGAAATTAGGCTCCTAATTGATGGCCACCAAGCATGCACTGCAACTGGTAAACGTCTGAGAGCCGCGATGATTCTATAAGAATGTGATCTTGAATGGAAGCTAATTAAGAATTTCCTTCAAAATTTAGGGATTTTCCTTCACAACACGGTATTTCAAAGGGAGATGGTTAATTTCCATCTGGAGGAAGCGAGGTTGGCATATGTGGGCCTAGAGACAATAACATAGAGAATAGAAAGGTGAATGGTAATATTAGGTAGAGGTTCTGGGCTACAAGATGCCAGACAGAGAAACTACTGGAACCACCCAAGACAGAAAGGAAAAGAGGGACAAATAGAAGCAAGCACTAATGCAGACATAAATAGGGAAAGAAAAACAAGAACAGAGCCTGCTTAATGGAGAGACACAGACTTGTGCCAGAACCAGGGAGTTAGATGGGGCTAGAGGTGTGGCGAGGAGGGGGATTTTGCAAGGTCGTGCATCAGTGCCCAAGTCGGGCGGCATTATTTGCCTATGCAGTCGACTTGGGGCTTAAATAGGACCACGGGAACAGCAGGACAGCCTGTTTAGAATGGGAATAACTCCATGATTTTGTAAGTCAGGGCCTGAAGAAGAGTCAGCCAACAGTGCTTTCAAGGACTGTTAAATGCATAACAACTGCACTCATGCCCCACCGTGGCATCCACGGGTCCATCGAGCTCACTGTGCTTGCAACACCCCCTCACACAGAGTTTCTATCACAGACATTCCTCACGCTGAAAGCTGAAGGAAATCTCATGACTTGGGAAGACAGAGAGAGCCAAAGAACTGGCCTTCTCCCACTTATAACCACAGATGTAAATTTGTGAGCTGACACAAAGCCCCAAAAGATTAAAGCAGAACGCGGAACCCCAAACGAATGGGACAGCGGACATGTAAGTTCTGATGTGCAGAGAAGAAGGAAGATGTCTCTATCCCAGAGATGGTCATGAAAAGTGGTGCCCTCGCCTGTCTATCAAGTACTAAGGTAAAGAGAGAGGCCACACACATCCATGCGGAATACAGAATTTCAGCCTGACCGTCTCCCAGGTACCCCTTCCCAGGCCCTAGTGACTACCCAGCCAGGGGGCCCAGTCCGCAGTGAGAGGAGATCATCCACAGAAAGAGCCCAGACCTACCTGGATTTCATCTGGTGTATCAAGGAAGTGGCTCGGGAGAAGGTTTGGAAGCATTCCGACATTGTTGACTGACAGAAGCAAAATAAAAAGATGTCAGAAGAGCCGGTAGCAAATCTTTATTAAAAGCCTAAACATGTTTATATTCAACCCCAGAAGTTCCTTTTCTTGGGAAGTTTTCCTAAGGAAACACGTACAGAAAAAATTTATAGACAAGGCTGTTCTTCGCAACATGATTTGGTAACAGTGAGGAAATTGGAAGGGAAAACAGTCGTCCTATCATAGGGAGCACATCAGGTGGACCGCGGGGCAGCCATACGGTGGAATGCGGCACACTTGCTCAACGCTCTTGCCGCTTAGCGTTTAAAGACGCCGGGAGACATTTGGGTGTACCGTCTTTTTAAAAAATGTTACAAAACAGTATGTAAATTTCATCCCAGTTTTGAACATTTGTGTGTATGTGTCTGGAAGGATATACACCAAAATGTTATCTGAGGCTGTTGGGATTTTAAGAAATTTGTAAATGTTTTATGTGCTCATGTATTCTTTTTGGTTTTTCTGCAACAATGTGGTTTACATCTTTATTAGTAAAAAATACAATTATTTTTAAAATTCAACAGGAAGTTTAGAAATCAAATCTTCCTTCCAAGTACAATACAGATGCTGTGCTCTGTATGAGGTTATAAAATATCTTATCACAGAAAAAATATTAAATATTATTATTATTATCTTGTTTCCTGAATACCAGAGTCAATTCTCAAAGAACCATGCTGACTCACTATTTCATGAATCACTCACAGCAATGTTTGTTTGCTAAACTAACTCATTAGGATGGTGTTTCTGAGACTCCTCCTGTCTAATGTCAGTATCAGTAGGAAAAAATCCATTTTCACATTATAAATATGGTTGGGAAGGTTGAAATATCTTAGTTTCATGCATTCCAAAGCCATAAATAAATTTGAGACATGTGACATGTGAAATGTGACAAAACTGGATGCAAAAATAAGATTCAGATACTCTGGAGAATACATTCATGTATTCAATATGCCTCTTGAAGAACTGAGCTGTAATATTCTGCTGAATGCTACAGCTTAAAAGACAGTCCAGACTTAAGTTCAAGTTTACCACAGAAAAATCACGTGTCACTAAGATAATTACTTCACTGATGTCTTACAATCAGCTTTGCATTTTGCAATTTACTTACCTAAAATTCCAATTTCTAAGCCTTTAAGTCTTTCTCTAATATACTCATAGATGTTGTCTTTGGTAAAATCTGCTTGTATAATCTTCACATTACTCCCCGTAGTGCGCTCTGCATCGGAGACAACAGTTACTCTTGAATGAACAGGAATCCAAATCCCTCCCTTGCTCATGGACTTCTCCAATGCTCCTGTAATGTGCTAAAAGATTTGTGAGTGATGGTTTCTGGTGTTTCTAAGAGTTACGATGGTGACAAGTGTATGCACCAAAATAAATTTAATGCAGTGGTTCTCCAAGTGGGGTCCACAGACCACAGCATCAGCATCACTGGGAACTTGTTAGAAACACAAATTCTCAGGCTCCACCCCAGACCTACTGAGCCAGAAACCCTGAGACTAGGGCCCAGCAATCTGTTATTGCACACACTCCCAGTGACCCTGCTCCATGCTCAAGTCTGAGACCCCCGGTCTACAGGCTGTAAGAGCATAATGTGATGTTGCCTCTGCTCAGTGTCAGGTCCCCTGGGCTTACACAGAGCAATCCTTTGTGTTTGTCTAACACTGTAGCAATCACAAAGCATTTACATACACAATATCTTATTTTAATCCTCTCTACAACCTTGTAAAGTAGATATTACACCCATTTTCAAGAGGAGAAAACTGAGGCTCAGAGAGGCTAACTTGCCCAGACACCCACACTCTGTTCCCTCCACATCCATGCCGCTCCGCTGTTCCATGTGGACTTGGCCTTGTGCAGGAGGTTTCGGCAGATATAAAAGCAACAACTAGATTTCACCAACTGCTGCCTGCTCAGATAAGGGGTTAAACCCAATATTTCTGGGACAAGTGATCTTGAGGCTTAGTTTGGGGAGTGGGAGTTGCTTTCAGTCCAAAGAGACTTCTTGCTTTTCAAGAGGACAATAAAAAGCACATCTTAACATTATGAGGGAAACACTGAAGAATGTTCTAGTCCTTGTCAGAGTACTTTTGATATCCAGACACGGAACAAAAGCAGAATTCATTAGTTGAAGGGCACTGAGCCTCCACTGGGCCTCCAGCCCCACACCTCCTACATCCGTCTCCTATCCCAAATCTCCCCTAGGGACACAGCACCATTCCCTGGCAGCCTGTCCCAGTCCTCACAAGTCTTCATAACTGAAGACTCATTCCTTTGAGTTAAGGAGATGACAAATTACTAAATTAAAAATTAATTATTAAAATAAATTGGGGCGCCTGGGTGGCTCAGTCGTTAAGTGTCTATCTTCGGCTCAGGTCATGATCCTGGGGTCCTGGGATCGAGCCCCACATCGGGCTCTCTGCTCAGCAGGGGAGCTTGCTTCTCTCTCCCACTCCCCCTGCTTGTGTTCCCTCTCTCACTGTGTCTCTCTCTGTCAAATAAATAAATAAAATCTTTAAAAAAAAATTATTAAAATAAATTACCCAGAAAGGGATATGATTATTATTAACTAAGAACACTTCACAGTGAGTCATAATACTAAAACATTGTAATATAAATGGTGCCTCATAGAATTGTATGGTGTACAACCTTCACAACCATACGTGGCAGGCCTGGATCAAATCTTTTTTTAAAAAAAATCTGACAACCACCAGTAAGCATCATCCCTCAGCTTCCTGCAAGGAACAGGGCGTAGGGAAACGAAGTCCTAAACAGATCCTATTTTTGAAGGGAGTAGCAGAAGCAACAAGGCAGCTGGGCCCTCTGGGTGAGCAGAGCTAATTCTGGAGATGAAGACACTGGGCCAAATGAGATAGTGGACCTATGTGTACATGAGTCTGTTCCTACTTCACCTAGCCCAAGGAATCCCTGCCGAACTAAAGCTGCTTATGGCCTGCACTTAACTTTGTCCAGTGAGCACCCCACAGAAGGGCCAGCGCCCCAGGCTCCAAGGACAGCCAGCCTTAGGCATGGTGATGGAGCCTCTGCACGCGGGACAGAGCGCACTTGGTCGGTGGGCTCCACAAACATCTCCCTGATCTCTCGGGGTCACTCACCAATCTCTGCGGCAGCGGCCTGTAGTTTTTTAAGTGTCCGGCTGATAAGCACAACATTGAGTCCTTGTCTTGCTAGCTGGGAGCCAGGGTGGGAAAACCAAAAAAGAGAAAGATGATAAGCAGACCGGGAAGGCTCATTTTAAAGGTGAATTGGAGCATCACCCACTTGGTCACAGTGCGGTGTGCATGCTTCTCCTGGCTTTAAATGCGACAAAGGTTCTGGATTATGAGCGAAACAGCCACACTGGGCGAGGCTACAGGTGACACGACAGTGGTGCTGACTTTCGTGCTCATCGTGTGCTGAGAACTATTCTAAGCGGCTTTTGTCTACAGGCCCACGATCCGAATGCCCTCTCATCAGAAATGTCGGGGGTCAAATGGTGTTGGAATTCAACATTTGGAGGGTTTTACAGCACAGTTTAGATGGCAAGTCTAGGGCAGCTCCCCCTGGTACAAAGAGGTATTTCTGCAGGAACGTTTGAGCTGCTTCCTACAAGGACCCTCTTGTCCTTGCTTGTCATGGCTCCCTCCCCTCGGGCATGGTCATGAGCCTGCGTCCTCTCTGTTCTCTGGCTCCCAGCGGGACAAAAAGTAGAATAGGGAGGGCGCCTGGGTGGCTCAGTCGGTTAAGCGACTGCCTTCGGCTCAGGTCATGATCCTGGAGTCCCGGGATCGAGTCCCGCATCGGGCTCCCTGCTCAGCAGGGGGGCTGCTTCTCCCTCTGCCCTCTTCCCTCTCGTGCTCTCTGTCTCTCATTCTCGCTCTCAAATAAATAAATAAAATCTTTAAAAAAAAAAATAGAATAAGGAACCGGGGGGTAAACCGAGGCTTCCCTGAGACCAGGAAGGAGCTCTTCTTCAGAGTGGGTTGTGCCTCGAAGCGGGGGGCTGAGCAGCAGTGTGCGCATTAACATGGCACAGACGACAGGTAAACTCGCTGTGCCCAAGACTCCTCACACCGAAAACTGCCACCAGGAGAAAAGCTAGAGCTTTCCCTGAAGACAGAAGGAAAAACCAGCATTCGTTTAAACAGAGACTGATGACATTTGAGTTAGTGACCAAGGGGCCCGTTAAGTGAAATCTTTCTCTGTGGTTTTAATTCAGTGATTTATACTTGTATTTTTTTTAATTGTGATAAAATACATAGAGCATAAAATCTGCCATCTTAACAAATATATGGACTGTTTCATGACTCTAGATGTCATCCTTGTGCAGAGCCCTGCTAATCTTCTCTGTATCATTCCAGATTTAGCATATGGGCTGCAGAAGCAAGCACTGTGCCATTATTTTAATACGGAATTATATATTACAGAAAACACATAAAGAGCTGAATCAAAGACCACAATATGTGATCTCCAATAGCCAACAACTCAGTCTTCAAGCCAGTGGTTTCCAAATCACCCAGGGAGATGTCAAATTCCCACCCAAACCATTCAAATAAAAATGTCTGGGTTTGAAGCATCAGCATTTACATCTTTTTCTATTTTAATTTATTAAACGATATTATGAAATATGCAAGTAACGCCCATTGTAAAAGATGTCCCGGAGGCCCCCCAGGCCTACTTCCCTTCCCGCCCCCAGGCTCCTGCGGCCTTCAGTTCGGTGTTGACCCTTTTGCCTTTTTCTCTGCATCTACGTGCATACAGAAGTACATACAGAAATAAACATTCGTTTTGTGGGGTTTCTTTTTCCTTTCACACTTCATAAATGGCATTGTAAATACTGTGTTTTTACCTTAATGGTGTGTCTTATCTCTAAATATCATATCTATCTCTGAATCAGTACGGCTTGAGCCACTTGATCCTTTTTTATTGCCTCATAGTGTCCCGTAGCTCACTTTTGGGTGGGCACTTAAGTTATTTTCAAGTTTTCCTATTACCAATATTGCTACAATAAACCCCTTTCTGTATAGCTCTTTGTGTATACAAGCAAATTAATTGCTAGAGTAGATAGGCAAGAAGTGGAGTTGTTGTATCAAAGGGTGCCTGTTTTTTAAATTTTAACAGTGTTGCCAAAATGCCCTCCCTTAAAAAGTACCACCAAAAATACAACCATAGTTATTTCTTCACACTCTGGCCAGTAGTTTTTATTAGCAACCTTTTCAACTTTTCCCAACCTAGTGGTCAAGAAATTATATCCCTATATTGTTTTAACTTGTATTTCTCCAATTATCAGTGGGCCTGAGCACTTTTTTGTATGTTTCTGTGAGTTACCAGTGTACACACTTTGCCCTTTCTTCTACTGGCTTGTCATTTTCTTATAAATTTGTAGGTGTCTTGTGGTTTTTTTAATATATTCTGGGTATTCATTAGTTGCCTATTATATATTTAGCAAGTGTTTTCTCTCTTATTTTTGGCACCTTGACCCTACATTATATATTAATTTTCATGTTATCAAGTTTGTAGATATTTACTATGGCTTCTTAAAAATTTCGTTTATGAACTTCCCTAACTCTAAGGATATAAATATATAAATATATTTTCCTATAACCCTTTACAGCGTTTTTATCTTTTTTAGAATAATGTGAGCGTGAAATCACCCAGCATTATTTTTTTCAAAATGGGTGGCAATTTTCTTGACAACATTTTTCTATTTTTCCATTCCTTCTTGATTTAAAATGGTAACTTAGTCATATGCCACATTCTTTTTTTTTTTTTTAATGAGAAACAGAGAGCACTAGAGGGAAGAGGGTCAGAGGGAGAAGCAGACCCCTCGCCGAGCAGGAAGCCCGATGCGGGACTCGATCCCGGGACCCCAGGATCATGACCTGAGCAGAAGGCAGTCGCTTAACCAACTGAGCCACCCAGGCGCCCCATATGCCACATTCTTATATGTACGTGGGTCTGTTTCTGATCTACCTGGTCTGTTTCACTGACTTACTAGCCAATTTCTGTGCGAGTGCCACTTGTGATTTAATCACAATCTTATAAGAGGCTTTGATATTTGATATGTGGAACTGGAAGTTCCTACCAGTTATTACTCTCTTTCAAAATGTGTTTATCTTCTGAGTTTAACTTTCCAAATAAATGATAAAATTGTCTAGTCAAGTAGTATAGAGAAATTAGAGATATGTAAGGGAAATAATATTTTACAATCTTATGATTTTTGCAGTAATCAGTTGTCTCATCCATAAATTTGGTATCCATTTATCCCAATCTCATGTGTTCTTCTAAAAACTTTTAGAAGCTTCTTCATATAAATCTTGGACATTTCTTGTTAGTTTACATTAGTTAGCATAACATTAGTTCACATCGCAAAGAAGTCCAAAACTTCAGTGGTTTCACACAATGAATTTGTAAACTCTATTTCACATAGTCATTCAGGTCCCATGGCTGAGAAAGTCTTTGTCATCTTCAACACTGGGTTTCTAAAACTGTTTTAGGTGTTCACAGCCAGCCAGTGCAAAGATTAAAAGAGGGTACATCCCCTCCTTTAACCACCTTGACCAAGAAGTGACACACACCATTTCTGCTTGATTTCATCGGCCAGTGTAGTCACATGGCCCCACATAGCTGGAAAGGAGTCTGGGAAATGCCCCAGCTGGCCACCACTTCCAGCTACAACTCTCCACCGTGGAAAAAAGAGTAGGGATCTGGGAGGACATTTAGCTGTTCCTGCCACCAGTACCGTACATTTATTTGTTGTCATCATGAATTAAGTAATTATGGAAAGCAGAAGAAACTCTAGGATGAAATAACTAGGTTCAATTCCTGTTTCCATCACTTAAACCTGTACGCACAAGTTACTCAAACCAGATGTTCCTCGTTGGCAAATTGAGGACACCAATAGACATACTTCATTAAATTGTTCTGAGAATCAAATGAAAAAACGCACTAGAAGTGCATGGTGCAGAGCCTGTCACACAGCAAGCACCCAAGAGTGTCAGTTATTTGTTCTATATATCCTACTCCATTACTCTTCGTGATTGTTCTATATATCCTACTCCGTTACTCTTTGTGACTGTTCTATATATCCTACTCCGTTGCTCTTTGTGATTGATTGTTCTATATATCCTACTCCGTTACTCTTCGTGACTGTTCTATATATCCTACTCCGTTACTCTTCGTGACTGTTCTATATATCCTACTCCGTTACTCTTTGTGACTGTTTTATATATCCTACTCCGTTACTCTTTGTGATTAGGAACTCTGCCGAGCCACCAAGGCAAACGAATTCTTTTATTCATTGTAATAGTTTCTTCCTCAATGCTTGGCTTTCCATCTTAGACAATGATATTCTCTACAAGGTACAGTTTTGTCCCTTCCTCTCCAATATTTGCATACTTTTGGCCTCTTTATCTTGGCTAATATCTCCTGCACTCTGTTAAGCTAATATATGGTCTGTTCTCTACCATACTGAGAACACTTAGAATGTTTCTCAATACAAAGTATGAGGTTTCCTGTTATTTCTGGAAATTATTTTTTCATCAACTTGAGAACATTTTCATCTATTCCTTTTTGCCAAATCACTTCTTTTTTAAATGGCTGTATGCTAATACTTAACTTGGATCCCAATTCTCTTATGCTACCTTTGTCCCATTTTGATATCAGAATCATGCTAATCTGTCTACAGAATTCCTGAAACATGTAGGGTCACCTACTTGTCCCAGCATTTTCCCAGTTTTAAAACTCAAAGTTCCACATCCCAGGATCTGCCCCAGTCCCAGGCAAATCAAACTGGTTGGTCATCCTAGAAATGTTTTGGGTTTTTTTTTTTTTCTTACTCCTTGAAGATTTAATAATATTTACTTGTAAAAAATATCTGGGTTTCTTATTTAGGTATAGCTATTCATAACTGCCTCTTCCATCTCAGGCATGACTTGAGCCAACTTTGATCATTTTTGTTTCCATAGAAAATCATGTCTTTCATCTAGATTTTTAATTAACACAAAGATTTAAATAGTCTTTCTTTTTTCTTCTTCCTCTACTTTTTTTTTTTAATCTCCTTGTCTGTAGCTAGGATCCTAATGTTCCTTTTCTTTCTTTTTTTCTTTTTCTTGAGTTTTTGAAAGATTTCATCCCTTTTCTATTATTTTTTTTTAACAGTTTTGAATGATCAGTTCATTTCTGTGTTGCCT